TTTTCATAATTTTTCATGACATTCACGCATAAGCATTATTTAAATTAAATAATCATGTTAGGTATATTCATTAGACATATCGTCTTTTCTTGTCCTTCTCCATAATTGCATTCATTCTCACTTTATCATCACGAATCAAATGTATTTGTTTCTCTAAAAAATAAAACGAACAAAAAAACATTTTTTCATTTCAAATTCTTCATTCCAACATTTTTCTTTTATACATGCATTTCATAGTAAAATAAAGGTCTAATTGATTGCTCATTCATGTCATTTTAAAAAAAAAAATCCATCTAATTTGATTATTTTCTTTTAAAGAGGATGTCAAGCAACAAATTTATGCAACGTCTCAAAAAAAAGGGAAACAAAGAAAATGGGGAATAACATGAAATTATTGGTCTCACTTATATTTAATTCTCAATCAAGAAGATGAGCTCTTTGACAAATTAACTTGTCAATTGACATGGTTTTAAAATCATTGTTAACCTTTTGAAGTACTTATTTCATTAACTTGCATAACAAGTTGTGTTGTTATCTTCATTGTCATAAATTGTCTTTGTCCCATTACATCTCATAGTTTTCTCATTATTCTTCCAAAAACAAAGAGTTTGTCCTCATAAAAAGTCAAATTTGTTGGATGATTCTCGATTAGAAAGTTTGACAATAGAAATTTGAAGATTTCTTATTGGGACAAATTTATCATTTTATGAGTATTTGTCCAACCATCTACCACATTTAATGGAGACAAGTCCTATGAGCACAAAAAAAAAACAAAAAAATGAAAAAATGTAAAGTCCGTTAGACTGAAAACCCAAAAGGGCGGTCTAAGCAAAAGTTAGGACAATAAAAAGAAAAAAAAATAAAAAATAAAAAAGAGAAAAGGAGTAACATGGAGTTCATTAAGTTTTGTCTTAGGATTAACCTTTAAAAAATAAGCAATTGAGATTTGAAATGATGTATGACCATGTTTCTCTATCTCCAAAAATATATATCACTTGCCACCCAAATTTGAGCCAAAAAGTGAAAATTTTCTTCAATTACCTCAAAAATTACCTCAAACAAGGCTCACTCTCAAAACAGGGGCAACATAATGTTCACATTTAATTCAACTTGTTTATGATACCATCTAAACAATGGAAAAGGAAAAGAAGAGAAATAAACCAAAGGCATCAAAAAAGGCATTGTTTTATCCTTGATGTTATTGGTTAAGGTAGCTTCCTATACCAGTGTGACAAGCAATGTGGTGGTCAAGTTCATCAAAAGAGATTTAATTTATCATTATGATGGTCTATCAATTCACATCATTACTGATAATGGAACCAACCTGAACAACAAGATGATGAAAGAGTTGTGTGAATATTTCAAGATTCAACGTCATAATTCTTCACCATGTTGTCTTAAGATGAATGGGGCAGTAGAAACAGCAAACAAGAATATTAAAAAGATTATTCAAAAGATGATGGTCACCTATAAGGATTGACACGAAAAACTTTTTTCGCTCTACAGGGATATCACATTTTTGTTTGCACCTCTACTGGGGAAACTCCGTATTCTCTGGTTTATGGTATGGAAGCAGTCATTCCCATTGAAGTTGAGGTACCTTCTCTAAGAGTATTGGCTGAAAGCAAACTTGAGGAAGCATAATGGGTTCAGGCTCGCTATGATCAGTTGAACCTAATTGAAGAGAAGAGATTGAATGCCTTGTGTCATGGTCAATTATATCAAAAAAGGATCAAGAGAGCTTTTGCCAAAAAGGTCCGCCCACAAGAGTTTCAAGAAAGAGATTTGGTATTGAAGAAGATCTTACCACCTCAAAAAGATCATAGAGGGAAGTGGACGGGAAGATCTATTGAACCCAATAAACTCTAATGCAGTCAAGAAATTATATGCAAAATAATAACAAAAATAAAAAGCTCGCTAGGCTAAAAACATGAAAAGTTTTGGTGGTCGCTAAAACTTGATTTTTTTGTAGTGCTATAAGGGCATCATATGCAAATTGAAGATGTGAAACACAAGGTCCATCATACCTAATACTATAACTATTAAAAAAGTCTTTCTTAATAGTTTTTTTTATTTATCAAAACACTAACACATGCTACAATTATAAATAGGAAATGAGTTAATGGATCTCCTTGGCAAAGACCTCCCTATATTGAATTCTTCCATTGGGCTACCATTTACCTAAATAGACACTCTTGTTATCTTCAAACATTTTTTGATCCATCCACACCATTTTCCACCAAATCCCATACCTCCATCATATGCATTAAAAACCCCAACATACTAAATCATGTTTTCTCAAAATCTACCTTAAAGTGTAATAATTCTTTTTCCTTTCCTCCTTGATTCATCAACAATCTCATTGGCTATAAGCACTTCATCAAGTATTTGCCTCTCCTTTATAAATATTTGATTTTTAGAAATGACCTTTAAAATTACCTTCCTTAACCTATTTGACAATACTTTTTACAACACCTAATATAGACATGTAATTAGAGAAGTTGGCCTATACTCATCCAACTTCACAGAATTTTAAATATATGATAATATAACTTATTTTTATTTTTTTAAAAGACTTAAATATCTCTTTTACATAAGCTAATCTTATTTGAATTAATACAATTAAGTTAAATTATACTTGTAGTCCTTTATCTTATTTTTTAGATCCAATGTGATCCTTTATCTATTCAAATGTCCATTTTGAATTTTTATCTTTTTATATTGGCTCAATTTGTTCATTTTAAAACAAGGATCATTTTTAATCTTGCATACAATGTTGAATCAATTTTGGATCAATTCAAGACGTAAAACTTGTAACATTAGATTCACTCATTTGAAAATCATGAAATACAATTCAAGTTTAAATCCAAAAGAGTAATAAACATAGTGAAAATTATATGAAGAATATATTTCATGAATAACTATAAAATAATATAAAAATAAATTTTTAAATTTTTTTTTATTTTTACCATGTATATAAAACTTTGGATTCCAACTTTAATTACATTTAACGGTTTTTATACAAGTGAATCTAGTAAAAATGTGTTTGAAGTCTTAAATTAATTAAAAAAGAATTAAAAAAGACTACATCGACATAAATTCAAAAAATAAAAAACTAAAATAAATTCAAAATATAAGATAAATAATAAAAATATAATTTTATCATAAAAAATATTATGAGCAATACTTTTTTTCCATTAAAAGAAAGAAAACTTTTCTTTTGAGTATATAACACATTTATGTACCTATTTCTCCTAAAAAAAGACTTTCAAACTAATTAGTCTATAATGGCAACCGCAATATTTGATTTCAATTCTTAGACCGCAAGTAAAACAGAGAACAGAAGATCATATGCCTATTCACAAGAGTGTTAACAATTGTCTTTCAACATATAGATTAGTACAAACTTGACAAAGCATGCAGAAACAGAAGAAGGGAATATTGTTCAGTGTTCACACGTATACAGTTCAAAGAACATGCAGCGTGACTTGAGCAAATAAAAATTGACAAGCATGTCAAATCACGTTTTAATTTTGGTCTCCAATGACGAGAGAAATATCCTTAGGATCCCCTGCCTTTAAAACATAACTGCAGTTGCATCTAACACATATGCATGCATTAATGTTTGTATTTTTTAATATTGTAATTATATTAAAACACAACATTTTTCTTAGCCTTGATTTACTGCAGCGGTTATAAAATAATGCAACAACATAGGATGGTCATCCTATGGCGGTGTATGTGGTTCCTGGATATTCTCGAAAGGTAGCAGAAGACAAAAACTTTACCATACAAAGTTATCGCCACATGAATGTAATGTGATATTATATATTAAATAGTAAGAGGAAGGCAATAAAAGGAATGTCAGCAGTGACGGCCAGAAATCCTTAAATATCGATTTATAATATTAAATATCTAATTTAATATTTTTTTATTTTTTTTATTTTCTAAAAAAATATCCTTTAAAATATAAATATATATTATAATCATTCTCTAAAAAGTCTTATATAATTTTTTTCAAAATTTCTAAAATATTTATGTAAATAATTAAATAATCAATTAATCATTTATCTTTTATATTAAAATTTTAACTTTTTTCTTAAAAATAATATAATATAAATTTAATTGGGTCAATTATCACTCTTTTATTGACTTAATAATTATAATTAATATTATATATAAAAATATATTAGAAAAAATAAGATATAAAATATATCTATTTTAAAATAAAAAAGTAATAGTCATTATTTAAAAAATAAAATATTTAAAAATTAAATATTA